TCTTTATTAATAATGGATTACTGGGGTCTTTGCTATTGTTATGTAAATACGTATGGAAGTATATTGTGCAGGGTTCAACGCTAAGGTTTTTTTTCACTTGCCCAGTCGGGCAAGTTGGTCAGAGATCTACTTGCCCGAAGTCAGTTTTTACTTGCCCTCTAAAAATTGTTTAATTTAAGCGGCTATCAATTAACAAAGACTGCAGTTATTTTTAAGTTATGTAATCTTTATTCACACTGTATTTATTAATTAAAACAACATATGTCATGTATTGTAGCTTAATTCCTACACAAATATGACAGTGTCAGGGCTTAAAGTGAAAAATTTGTCAATTGTTCTCCGTCTATAATTTTGCGCCCTACTTGAGCCATGCCCACCTCTATTTATTTTTCACCCCTCTCTCCAGTTCTGCTGTATTGACACCACCGGGTTTAATATATTTTGCTTCCATCTCTCAGCCCTGCTCTACTGTACTTCAACGCTACTTAGCTCTCTCTCTCTACTCTACCAGTAGACTACCACATCCACCTGTTGCACAAAACGCACACAGCAGTGTTTCCCCTAGGATGGAGTTGTAGCAGCGGAGGTGAATCACACACATGAAAAACAATTTTCACATGGGTGAAACTTTTTTGTATGCTTGCAAAGCACAGCCTGCTGGGATGTTTCTATGTATCTACTGGCACCAGAATGGCTCTTTAGGACTAAGTACATACAGTACATGTGTGCACAGTAATGAGCAGGTGAAATGTCTGTCTAGCTTACATATGAGGTTTCTCAAGATTTAGGAACATACAATTGTATTGAATATAATAACACAAGCTCAGCATGAGTGCCGTGCTGAGCTGCTGTGCGAGCAGCGTGTTTGTCTGTGCATAACAGCAGTCTGTTGATGGTTATTTACACAGTGTCCATAACAATAACTTTGTCAGCTGACAAACTGCACCGAGCTCGGGGTCAGGTTTGGTAAGGAAAATGCGGCCTGAGCCGCTCTAGCGTGCTCACCTGTGTGTGTGGCGGAACTCCGCCATGCGTGATACAGAGAGCAGAAGAGAATTGTTAACGCGTGACCATGTAGAGACAGAAATGACACCATGGCATAACACCATAAATAGTATATTGTTATGTTATTATATGAAGCGTCCGTCGCGCAAAATAATATCAATGGGCGCTGTGGGCAGGACATTGTTACACAGCTGTGCCTGTGACTTCAGGCAGAGAGACCGCTGCATCAGAGCAGAAGAGCACGTTTTAAAATACATTTATTTTATCAATTAGTTATTAACTTTTACTACTTTTAGCAACTTGCCCGATTAGATAAAGGCAAGTGAGTTCTTAGTTTACATGCCCGACTGTGAGTTTTACTTGCCCCGGGCAATCGGGCAATCCTTATTGTTGAGCCCTGCTGTGTATGCAAATGTGAGTGTGCAGCCTGAAGCATTTTAATGGACTAATGATATGCACTAAACAATCACACCAGATTAAAAAAATCTCTGTAATTCATTTTATAACATCAGATTTGTGTAATTTTGTTCATTGAAAGAGACAGAGGGCTGAGGAATGCACTGTGACTGTTATCCCAAGACCAGTGTTGATTTCCTGACAATACTGTGATTGCAAGAGTATGCTGTGCAAGCTACTTTCATGGGAAAAGAGTTGGCAGTCTGCCCTACTCGTGAACCTAACTGTTGCCAAGGAAACAATACCTGGATGAGTAGGAACAAGATCAACATCTGCCAATGGTTGGGTCAACTAACACAGCAGATAACAATGGAACAAAAATCAGCTTTGGAAAAAAGTTATACTGATGGATTATGTGTTAAAGGTTTGATTTTATCCTCCTGATGTTATACTTATGGATTCCCTGTGTAAACTGTCTATTAATGTTTAGTGATCTTAATTTTGTGTTCTTTGTGTTATCATTGTCTTTTTTCATCCTTGTAGTATTTTACTGAGTTAACTAATGGATTAGGGTATACACTGGAAAGTGCCTCAAACAAGCCCCTCTGGTTTTGTTTTGGTTTTTTTTTTTTTTTTTTTTTTTTTTTTTTGCATCTCTCCATCATGTTTCTGTTGCTCATGTACAACTTTTTTGCAAATGTGAAAACATATAAACTAAACTAAAAAACACTTGAAACAGTTCAGTAAAAGTCATTCTTTCAAAAAGTGTATTTTAATCCTTTATCCTCCTGCGTGTGTTTTTCGGAGGAAGCTTGCAATTTCATTAACACTTTTGGACTTTTATTTTGAAGCTCATCTGAAACTCATTTACCCCGGAAGCTGTACTCTTTACTGTCGCTAACGTCACACTGTTTGAGCAAAATGGCGTCTGATAGAAACGTGTGTTAGCAGAGTGTCTTTGTTGTGTTTTTAAAGTGTGAACATGTCTAAAGTCCAAATGCTGGGAGCGTTGGTGAAGCAGCGACTAACTGCGGCTGCTGAAGAGATATTTGGGCTGTTTGAAAGAACGATAGCAGAGTACGAGGAGGAACTTTGTCGATCAAAAGAGGAGAACGAGCGACAACGTAAACTACTGGACGCTGTTTTAAACCCTCAGCTTCGGTTACACAGAGCAGGTTTGTTCATTAAACATTACAAGTTCATTATTAATGATATAACTGTAGGTTTGTTCAACACTTCTTGAGTGAATCGAATATCTCGTTAGCGCATCTTGTGTAGTTAGCTTCTCTGCTGTTAGCTCAGTATCAAGCGCTAAAGGTGGCAGCGGCAGCTAGCTGTGGCACTTCCGGTGGCAGCCCCAGCTTCCGCGTTTGAGGCAGCTGCCAGGGGTTTTACAGATCTGCCACGGCAACTCCAGCAGTTTGAAGCAGCTACTACTCACCTGCCACGGTATGAATAGACGTATAGGATCTGTTTTAATCATTTAAAAAAGTGATTTAACTATTAAGATTTAGTATGTAGAATGTAGAATGTAGCACAATCAGAACGCTAAATATTGTTTGAATGAATAAATGAATGAATGAATGAATGTCAAAATCAACAAGGGAGGGGGGCTGTAGAAACAGCTGTTTGAAGCAGCTGTTGCTGTTGCTGTTGCTTTGCAACCACTTAATCAAAGACTACAAAACAATCACGATTATTGAAAAGATCACCATTAATAATAATAATAATGATATTAATATAATTCAGTCTTCATTAATTTTTTAGCTCACCTCTGGCGAAATGACCTGAGAAAGTAATTCTTGCCGCCTTTCTTTTCTTTTTTTTTTTTGAATATTTTAACTTTTTTTACTTTTTTTTTTAACAAAAAAATAGTAAAAAAAAACCTACATACAAAATAGGTATACAGTACCTGACATTGTTTATGACTACTTATGTCCTAACACAGGCCTATAGACAACTTTTCAAATGCGACCATTAAAAGTGACAGAATACACACAAATCTGGCAACCATTAAAATATTTATTTTATCAATAAACTGTATTAAAATTATTTATAGGCCACTAAGGTAATGAAAAGTTTTCTAAATTGTTGACGTTTTATTGAGTTTAGAATTTACAGGGTGGGACATAGTAGCCCTATGCTATAAAAGTGTGACACTCATGCATACAAATTGTTTCATATCAAAATGAATGATAATAATGCGACACATAATTCCCCCCAAATTCTTTTTAGAGGTCCTTCCTGTCATTGGCCCTGCTGTAGTCACTATTATAAACATGTCCCTCACCTCTGGTTATGTCCCTGATCAGTTTAAGACAGCCAGTGTCCAGCCACTCCCAAAAAAAACTGGCTTTGATCCAGCCGTTTTGAACAATTTCAGAGCCATCTCAAAATTACCTTTCCTTTCCAAAATACTGGAAAAATTGCTACTAAGCCTGTATACTACTGAGCGGTCACTTAGATCTTTCAACCAAAACCTGTTGGCCATGCCATGTGCCAAACTGAAAACCAAAGGTGACTGTGCTTTTGCTGCCCTGGCACCCAGACTTTGGAACAATCTCCCCACTTACATTAGATCAGCTGTTTCTGTTGACTGTTTCAGAAAACCTACTTTTTTAGAATGGCTTTCTCATTACATTCGATAAATTCAAGTGTGTACTCTGGGTGATGACTGTATGCTCGCTGTGCTCATATATGTGTGTATTGTCTGTATGTGCTCTTGAGTGTGTCTTTTATGGTTTTTGTGTCCTCATTTCTTTGTGTCCCAATGTCAGTGTGAAGCACTTTGTAACCTGTGTTAAAAAGGTGCTATATAAATATAGTTTTACTTTTACTTACTTACTTTCTTTATTAAATACTCACGTCCATACACTTCAGATTATCCCCTAAATAAGCTTTAGATATTCTTAAAAGATCCCAGAGAACAGACTCCTGCAGGGGCTGCAGCTTCGAGCTCCTCTCCCTCTCTGTGCTCTTTGCACAAGGCATGTGAAGCACAAAATTGCAATTCAGATTCATTTTAGATTCATTTTAGATTATTTTTTTCTCTGCGCAGCCAGAGACGTGTTGCTCCTCCTCACTTGAAGTTGCTGTCATTAACTTTTAACCTGCAAAGGCGGCAGTGCTGCAACATTGTAGGAATTTATGAAAGCCCTTGTGAACATTTCAATACTTACACATTAAAACAATATTTATTTGCAATTACTCTATTGAACGACCCCAAAGCATGAGCAAATGGGCTGTGTCACTTCGGATCAAAGAGATGCGCCCTGTCACTGTCAGCGCAGGGCTGACAGGGCACCCTCCGCTGAGGAGAGGAGAGGAGATGGATTGTAGGTCTGTTTGTAAACGGGGCTTCTATGACAGTCATGTATTTCCCCAAAAAACATCTCTTAATGCACGGGAGAGCGCGTGTTTTTTTTTAAAAACGCCTTGATATCCAGCAAGTCGCCTGGCAACCCTCCAATCGCCAATATACACTTTGATCGCTGATCGTCCCAGGCCGAGATGTGAGTGAACGACAACATTTCTCTGTAACGTGTGTGTTTGTGTTTGTGTGTGTTTGCGCGCGCGTGTGTGTGTACTGTTTCCTGCAGACATCCAGCAGCTGTCGGTGGTTAAAGAAGAGGTTCCCCCTGAGCAGCAGGAGTGGAGCTCCAGTGTGGACCAGGAGGACCCAGAGCCTCCACACATTAAAAGGGAACAGGAGGAACTCTGGATCAGTCAGGTGGAAGAGCAGCTTCAAGGGCTGGAGGAGGATGATATCATCAAGTTCACATCCACTCCTGTCCCTGTGAAGAGTGAAGATGATGAAGAGAAACCTCAGTCCTTGCAGCTTCATCAAAGACACACTGAACAGATGGAAACAGAAGCAGAGGGAGAGGACTGTGTAGGAGCAGAACCAGCCAGGAACTCAGATCCAGATACACATTTACAACCAGAGACTGTTGACAAGACGAGAGAGTCCTCTGAACCAGAGACTGATGACAGTGATGATTGGAAGGAGACCAGAAAACCTCAGTAAGATTTAAACTCTATGAAAAATTATGAAGTCCCTGTCAGTGATTTGATTGTTTGTGAGAAACTATGTATCTGCTCTGAGTGTGGGAAAAGATTTGGACACAAGGGACATCTGACGGTACACATTATATTTCATACAGGAGAGAAACCACTTAGTTGCTCTGAATGTGGGCAAAGATTCAGCCGCAGTGACGGTCTGAGTGCACACATGAGATATCATACAGGGGAGAAACCATTTAGCTGCTCTGAGTGTGGGCAAAGATTCTGTTGCAGTGATGGTCTGAGTGCACACATGAGATCTCATACAGGAGAGAAACCATTTAGCTGTTTAATTTGTGGAAAATCATTTAAACAAAGTAGAAGTTTACATAAACATATGAAAATCCACGACGGAGGAAAGTGATTCAGCTGTTCAGTTTGTACAAAACTCTTTTACAGGGATTACGGCTTGACACACATGAGTGCGTGTACAAGAGATAGATATTTCAGCTGCAGTGTTTGTATGAAATCTTAAACACAAATTGGACATTTACACAAACGTTTTAGCTGCAGTGTTTGTCACTAAATATTCACTTGACCTAAACAACTAAGAAACCATCAGGGTTGTGTTTGTCAGTCCTGACAGCCTCATCAAACTCAAACTGAGAAAAGCAGCGACTCATTGTGTTCTGTGAGGTAAAATTACTGATTCTTTCAGTGGAGTCTGGTTGCTTTAAGGAGAGCATCATGTAAATGTATCAGTTTACTGGCAGCAAGGTGAAGCTGGGAAAATATTCTTAATGCAGTGTCTATTTAAACTCATGTAACAGAGTAGAATATGCTTGGTTAAATTATAACAGCTCTCTTGTTAGCCAGTGCTAACTGCTAAAGGGAGGGAGGGAGAGAGAGAGAGAGAGAAAAATCAACTTTCGTGCATCAAAATGTAAGTGGAACAGAACATTTCTTGTTGAACCCCTCAGTTAGATACAGGTAAATGTGCTCATACATTCTCGATTTGCACAGTGAAATGGAGTACACCCTAGCACAGAGGATCCAGAGACGGCGGAGGCAGCAAGTCTACAGGCTGAGGACCACATACCTCAACATCACGGAGGAGGAATGTCGCAGAAAACTCCATCTCTCTCGCCAGGCTGTGACGGAAATATGCCATCTCCTGTCAGCTGATCTGGAGACGCATGCCAACACTCCCTATACCCTCCCCGTTGCTGTAAAAGTCACTGCTGCGCTATATTTCTTTGCAAGTGGGTCATTTCAGCATCCGCTGAGTTCAATTGGAGGCATATCCCAACGTGCCATGAGTTCGGCCATACATGCAGTCACATCAGGTCTAGTCCGACATGCCAGTGAATTTATTCAGTTCCCCATGACGCCTGACAGCCAAAATCGAGTTAAACAGGAGTTCTGGGCGAGGTTTGGGTTCCCTGGGGTCCTGGGTGCAATTGATTGCACCCATGTGCAACTACGGGCCCCAACACAGAATGCTGTGATTTACATCAACCGTAAGGGAACCCATTCCATAAATGTCCAGGTGATCTGCGATGCAGCCTGTAAAGTTATACATGTATTCGCTAATTATCCTGGGTCAAGCCATGACTCCTTCATACTAGCCAACTCTGTCATTCCTGCAGTCTTCCAGGGGGATCCCCCCCTGGAGGGGTGGCTGTTAGGGGACAACGGCTATCCATTAAAGACATGGCTGATTACACCGTATATCATGCCTACAACACTGCGTGCATCGTCGTTCAACCAAAAACACACAAAAGCACGCAGTGTAATAGAACGAACGTTTGGAATGCTAAAAATGCGCTTCAGATGTTTGGATAAGTCAGGTGGTACATTACAATACAGCCCTCAGAAGGTCGGAGCATTCTTCGTGGCATGTTGTGTGTTGCATAACCTTGCCATACGCCATGGATGTCTCTTGGATCAAAATGAGGACACAGTACAGGACTTACAAAGGCGTGAGGCTGAACTGCATGTGCCGTTGCCAATTAACCCAAATACACCAGCAGCGGCACGGGCGAGGAGAGATCAGCTGGCAGAAGAGCTGCATCATCTGTAGCCTGGTAAGCAAACTGATTTTTTTTTTTATTGAAAACCAAAGCCCACACATTGCATTTATTATAACATGTTATACTAGGCTACATATTATTATATTGTTATGAGTGTAGAGAGGACACACATGCAAATAAGAGGCAGAACACAGCTCTAGGAAACATGTGAAAACAATTAACAAACAAGGGTGGGGGAGAAAACGCTGAACAGGTCCTAGCTGCAGGATCAGCACCTTGGGGAGCTCCGCGGCAGTCCTGACAGCTGTGCTCTGTTATATGATGAAAACAGGTTTGAATAATATTCCACAGATACTTAGTAAGATCTTTCTTGTATTAGTGATCAGGTTTCCATACTTTAAGTAGCCTAATTAACGCCACACTGATTTTACGTTACGTTACGCTATGACTGAACACAACCATTTTAAAGAAATGTTCAGTTTCTTTTCTTCAGACAAAGGTTTTAAGGAGATGTTTCTTTACCTGCTTGACAGTTTCGACTGAGCCTTCAGTCTTCCTCAGAAGTGTCATCCAACGTGCTGCTGACGCTTCTGAGGAAGACTGAAGGCTCAGTCGTAACTGTCAAGCAAGTAAAGAAACATCTCCTTAACACCTTTGTCTGAAGAAAAGAAACTGAACATATCTAAAATAAGAAGACAAAATGAACATAATCAATCTCATTTCAAAGAAAGTAAAGATGACGGAAAATAAAGCTTTAATATACACACACAAAAAAAAAACATTTTTAACTGAAAATTAACAGGGTCTTCTTCCTCCTCTTGTTCTCAGGCGAGGAGGAGCACCACGACGCGGCACGCCACGGGAGGGGCCAGAGACGCTGCCAAGGATCTGGTGGAGTGCGGAGATCTGATCGGAGGAGGAAGAAGAGGAGGAGGAGGAGAATCTGGCAGTGTTCCTGGCTGAAGCAGGCACTCAGCTGCTCCAGCGAGCCTGTCCAAACTATCGGCTATGTGACCAAGGGGCCGCAGCAGGCCTTCAACACGGCTCAGGCGGGTGTTTAGGCGCCGCCTGAGGCCACCCAGTTCCCGTTCGAGCATGGTGAAGCCTCCTCGCCGGACCTCCAGGAATGGGTGGTCTTCAGGCTGGGCGAGCTGCCTACGTCTCTGTCTCGTCAGAGGTGCAGGTGCGGTCTCCTCCTCCCCCACAATAGCCGCCTGCTCCTGGCAGCTGGGTCCGGTCCCTGGATCATCAGCCAGCGGAGCTGCATGAAGATGATGGGTTCATTTTAAAAACAAAATGTAGCTATGAAATGTGCTATGTAAATAAAGTTTGGTTGATTCATTGAATGTCTGTTGTGTGTGTTAATGTGAAATCAATACATTTCTCAAGAAGCCTGCATGGTCTGTACACACTGATATATTGTGATTATTGCATTACCTTGGACGCCAACCTCTAGTCCCCCAAAGCCCTCAATGCTCTCCACACTGAGGGTAGAGGCGGCGATGTCCTCTGCTGGCGTCAGATCGTCGGTGGTGTTGGGTGGGCCTCCTCTTTTGGCATGCTGCTGGTGTTGGTGGGTGGCGACCTTCTGTTTCCCCCGTCTTCTGACATCATTATACCGTTTGCGGCATTGTGTCATGGTTCTGGTGATGCCAGAAGATGAGGAAACGATCGCTGCCACCTCCTCCCACGCCTGCTTTACCTCGGGGAGCTTAGGTGCCTGTCTGCTGTCCCCGCAGATCTGGTTCTGACTCCAGTTGGTAGGTCCGCCATCTAACTAGCTCTCCGCCATGCGCTCCAGTCACGCCTCTTTTAAAGGGAATGAGAGGTGACACTCTGATTGGCTTATTGAATGATACGCCCAAAACACACCCATGACTAATTCACAGAGTAAGTCCAACCCTTCCTACAAACATGGGTCTTTTCTTCAGGGCTTATTTTATACTCTCCTTGTTGTTACTTTCCCATCAGAACCCTTTAATTTAACCTGGGATGCAGCTAAATTCTTTATTTCCTGTTGGTTCAGAAATACAATTAAATTCATGTTTTTTGAAACTCAGTCCTCCACCCAAGAATTAGTTTACAATACAGTTTGTATATATGAGCAAACTGCTCTTCTTTATTAAATACTCAAGTCCATACACTTCAGATTATCCCCTAAATAAGCTTTAGATATTCTTTAAAGATCCCAGAGAACAGACTCCTGCAGCGGCTGCAGCTTCCAGCTCCTCTCCCTCTCTGTGCTCTTGGCACCAAACTGCATTTTATATTTATTTAAATTAATTATCAGAGTTGCATTGTAGGAGATCTCAACACTATTTCAAGTTGAGTTTTGTTTTTTAAAGACATGTGGAAGTGGGAAAGCATTTCAGTGTCTGTCTGAACACAGCAGGAAGTTGGTGAACCAGAATCAGCCAGAGAGTTGGAGGGAGATGGTGTGATGTTATGCCAGACTAGCTTACTTATTGTTAAACTTAGGGCCGTAACGGTACATGTATTTGTGTCGAACCGTTCGGTACCCGACTTTCGGTTTGGCACGACCCTGTACCGAATTATTGGGCGCAGGATATTATTTTATTTTGTTTTATTTTAATTCCGTTTTTGCGAGCCGAACCATTTAAAATACCTAGTTCCCCGATGGACATAATTGAGTGACGGACTGAGTCCCGTAAATCTCCGCTTTCACTTTGTGCAGCACATTCTCGCATTTTGACAACATGGCAAGTGAGCCTGACGAACCTGAAGACCCACCCGCAAACCTTAAGTCCTCCGTTTGGGAACACTTTGGTTTCAGGGTAATCTGGTGCAAACTACGATATCGTCGTCGTTTAAAAATCACGCTAAAGAAATAATCAACGCCATTGGAGTTGAGTAAAATCGTTTAAGCTGCACTTTAGATATAAGCATGTTTTGTTTACTGCACTTTAACAAAGTGGGAAAGCTAAATAAGTTCCTAGTAAAACTGAATCTGAGCAGGCTTTAAAGCTGACCAGCTGCACTATACTTTTTATTTTAATTGAGTAAAACTGTTTAAGCAGAAATGTATATTTATATTTTTCATTCAAAAAATGTGTTAAAAAAAACAGCAGGATTTTATTTTTCACTTTTGTATTTCTATTTTCATTCAAACAATGTGAAAAAGAGTTAACTGCTGTGGTGGTATGTTTTAATAAGTAAAAGATATTTAATAGTTGTCTATTTTTTTTCATTACTGTACCGAAAAAAAACGAACCGTGACTTGTGTACCGAGGTACGTACCAAACCGAGATTTTTGTGTACTGTTACACCCCTAGTTAAACTTAATGGTGGGTTATTGCCTAAATTAGGCTGGCTGTATGATATGTCTTATTATACAACAGTTAGTTCCGGCCCTGCAATCTGATTGGTCGAGAGACAGTAAAACCGTGATGATATTGGAGTACAACATCACGGTTATTTCACTCTGTATGTATCACTCCGCCTCACAGCTGATTGCAATCAACAATCAAATCAAAACTGACGGTTAGTGTCAGTTAGGTCAGCAGTTTCGTTGTAGGCTAATTAATTCATCCACTGTCAAACAGCCAAAAATATGGATTTATTTCCTAAAATAAGTTTTGAATTGAACTATGAATGGTCATCAGAGGAAGATGAGGGAGAGGAGAAGCTGAATCCATCTGAGCACACATCCAGGTTTGTCAGTGTTTCATCAGCGGAGCTCAATGACTTGGAGAAAAGCAACATACTGTCAGATCAGAAGGCAGAGTCGGCTGTGCCTGTGAAGCGACAGTCCACCATGCAGTCACCAGAGACTTATTTCACCGGCTGCACAATTAATGGAAACGTGCCTGCGGCCCCGTGCCTACAACCGAATCACAGCCGTAATCTCACAACAGTAACAAATAATACCAATGATGAGGGCAAACGCTATCGTTACCTGGCTGTCCATGAAAGCAGGTCACCGGCAGTCATGGATGCTGCTCTGCAGGGCGCTCAATTTTTGTGCGTTAACTGTGAGTGAGAAGATGAAGAGGGAGGGGCAGAGGGTACTTGAGTTGTCCACCACCATTGTGTTTTGGCTTTGACACAGCTGAGTAAAAACTGTGAAGCTGTTTGATGCTCAGAGATCTGTAGAAGTTCAGGAAGGAGTTTTTTAACTGTGATGTGAATGAACGACAACATTTCTCTGTAACGTTTGTGTGTGTATGTGTTTCCTGTTTCCTGCAGACGTCCAGCAGCTGTTGGTGGTTAAAGAAGAGGTTCCCCCTGAGCAGCAGGAGTGGAGCTCCAGTGTGGACCAGGAGGACCCAGAGCCTCCACACATTAAAGGGGAACAGGAGGAACTCTGGATCAGTCAGGAGGGAGAGCAGCTTCAAGGGCTGGAGGATGATATCAGCAAGTTCACATCCACTCCTGTCCCTGTGAAGAGTGACGATGATGAAGAGAAACCTCAGTCCTCACAGCTTCATCAAAGACACACTGAACAGATGGAAACAGAAGCAGAGGGAGAGGACTGTGGAGGAACAGAACCAGCCAGGAACTCAGATCCAGATACACATTTACAACCTGAGACTGATGACAGGACTGGAGAGTCCTCTGAATCTGAGATGGATGACAGTGATAATGTTTGGAAGGAGACCAGAGAACCTCAGTTGGGTTTAAATTCCCTGAAAAATGATCAAATCCTTTTCAGTGATTTGATTGCTGGTGAGAAACGATTTAGCTGCTCTGAGTGTGGGAAAAGATTTGGTCACAGTGGAGTTGTGAGGGAACACGTGAAATGTCATACAGGAGAGAAACCATTTAGCTGTTTAATTTGCGGGGAGTCATTTAGATTAAGTGGAAATTTACATACACATATGAAAATTCATGAAGGAGGAAAGTGATTCAGCTGTTTGTACAATACTCTTACAGGGATCACGACTTGGCGCACAGGAGTACACGTACAAGTGATAGATCTTTCAGCTGCAGTGTTTGTATGAAATCTTAAACACAAATTGGATATTTACACAAACACATGAAAACCCAAACAGGAGCAAAACCTTTTAGCTGCAGTGTTTGTCACTAAAGATTCACTTGACCTAAACAACTAAGAAAGCATCAGGGTGGTGTCTGTCAGTCCTCGCAACATTACCAAACTCAAACTGTTCTTTTGGGTCTCTCTGTATCAGAGGCCACCACAAATAATTAAGCAACTCTGCCCTACTTGTGAACTATAACCAAGAAAACAATACTTTTTTTTTCCAATTTGTTGACAATCACAATCAATGATAAACAAAAATACAGAGGGGCATCTCCAACGTGTGGTTTTTCTTCTTAGTTCTTTCCAATTAGTCCAGGTAATTGTTGGTATCACTTTCCATGTAGGTGGTCCAGTTTTTGTCAAATATATGTCCCTTGAGTTTTAGTTGGCAAGTCAACTTTTCCACTGAGTGAATATCCAGGATGATCTCAAACCATTGCTCCTTGTTCGGTATTTCCACTTTGTACCAGTTCCTAGTTATAGCCTTTTTGCTGGCATTAGGTAAAATTTTAACCAGATACCTGTCTTCTTTTTGCACAGCATCAATTTTTCCCAGGTACATGACAGCACAGTTATTTGGGATATCATAATCCAATATGTCATTAATAGTTGTATTTACAATATTCCAAAAAGGTTTTAATTTACAGCAGCACCAGAAGACGTGTATGGTTGCCCTCTTGGTTACCACAGAGCCTCCAGCATGGTTGTTGGGTCTTTAATTGTCTGCTCTTGATCTGAGGTGTTATGAAGAACCTAGTGAGATTCTTCCAACCATATTCCCTCCATGTCTGTGAGCTGGTGGTAGTGCATTGTGTCATGCACATTTCGTACCAATCATCCTCCAAAATGTCAATATCTAACTCTGATTCCCATTTGCTTTCGAGGTATAGTGTTGAGTTTTCTCTATTATTCTGGAGGGCTTTATAAAAGGCTGAGATGACCCTAGATTTACCCTGATGATATGCATCCACTATAATTTGGATAATGGCATTCAATTCAGTTTTAGAATCAATTCTAATCTCTTTCATAACATAATCTCGAATTTGTAAATATCTGAAAAAATCTTGTTTTTGTAATCCAAATTTCTCTTTTAATTCTTGAAAACTCATACACTTCCCCTGTTTAAAAATGGTGCAGAGAGCATTAATTCCTTTCTCTGTCCATTGTTTAAACCTTGAGTCATTCAGACCTGGTAGAAACTTTGGATCACACGCCACCCAATTCAATATTTTTCTCTCTGCTTGTAATTTGTATTTCCTCATTATCTTTTCCCAAATTTCCAGTGGAAAATTTATTATTGGATCTATTCAAAGAGCATGGATACCAAGAGGCGAAGCTCCGATG